GCTACCATGCCCCGCTGATTTTTGATGTATTGTAGAGATGAGGTCTTGCTGCCCAGGCGGGTGTCAAACCCGTGGGCTCAGGCAATCCACTCGCCTCGGCCTCCCAAAGTGCTGGGATTACAGGCTGAGCCACCGAACCCGGCTCATCTACATATTTTAATGTCTCACAAATCTACCTAATGGGATGGATTTCCTGAGGTCTACTTTGTCCCTCTTGCTCCATTGAAAGCTCACCTTGAAATGACCAAATCCTCTTTAGTCACTTTTTTTATTTTTGAGTCGGAATCTCACCATCACCCAGACTGGAGTGCAGTGGCACACTCACAGCCACCGCAGCCTTGACCTGCTGGGTTCCCAAGTAGCTGGAACCACAGCTGGCTAATTTTTTTATTTTTTGTAGAAACAAGGTCTCGCCAAGTTGCCCAGGTTGGTCTCGAACCCCTGGACCCAGGCAATCCTCAGTCTCCCAAAGTGCTGGGATTATAGGTGTGAGCCATCGAACCTGGCCTTAATCACTCTTCTGAGAAGTAAAATGCAGGCATAGAGTTACTTTCCACCCCTACTGTCTCCAGACTGACTCACCCTCATTGCCTCCCTTTACCTTTCTTGATAGTTGATGCTTCTTCCCAGTTATACTCACATTCCTCAAGCTCTTAAACCTATTCTGGGATACCAAGCTCTGGTGAGGATGAACTAGAACTGCCTACAGTATACATCCCTTTCTTCCCCACTATGATTGGACCCCACAGTCGCTGGGGTCTCAGGACTCAGATTACTTTCCCTTGACTCTCCTTCCTCTGTCCCTATTTTCCCACATCCTCTCATTTTTTGGCAAGGCTGAGAGATGAAAAATTGGGTCAGAGTCGCGATGGCATCGATTGCCTCTGCTCTCCCTTCCTTCCTGGCCTGGCTCTCCTCCCTCCCGCCCCCAATCTATTTTCAGCCTGCCTCTGCTTTCCTTAGTCTGGTTGGCAAGCAGGCCGTCCTCTTTCTCTTCATTGCCCTTATCTCTCCCCTGCAGACTGTGCAGACCCCAGCTGCCCTTCCAGAGGTCTCTGATTGCCTGCCCGATTGATTTTGATTTTCTTCCATCTTGAAGATATGTAGGGTCTGCCTGACAGAGGATGCCCGGCCATACTCAGGCAGAAGGGAAGCAGTGAGATAATACTGGTCGGTCTGTTTTGGTAAACCCTTCAATATGACTGAAGCCCTTAAATTGTCCTCAGACCCCTTCCACAATGACTTCTGCTTTCATCTAGGCCCGTAGACTATTCTCTCACCTCCTCCATGATGCCTACTCACCCTTGCTAAGAAATGCTCACTTCTTCCTCCCACTTGGGCGTTCTGGACTCATTTCCTTTGACTCTGGGGGGTGTGCGGCATCCCCGAGGCCCTTGCCTGCCTTCTGGGTCTGCACATTTCTCGTCTCTTCTTACCCAGTTCCTTGCCTCCCTCCACTCTTCACTGGCCCATCCCCCACACGGATCCTCCCCCACTTGTCCCCTGGCCTCCTTCTACTCTCTTCTAGGCTCCTCTGTGAAGGCCTCAGCCAGCTGAGGCAGGGCTTGGTAGCATCCCCCACTCATCCTTTCCCAGCCTCCGGGAGACACTGGTCCCTCGTTTAGCTGCCACCAAGAAGCCGAATAAGGCTGGATATTTTAGAAGGGGAGCTGCAGCTGGCTGGGGGAGGGGGGCACTGAGAGAAGGCAGAGGGAAGAACCTGCAGCTGTGGGGTGAGAGGGGACATTCCTAGGATCCTGTCTCCCCAACTTTGTTGGCTTGGTAGCCAAGCTGGTAGGAGCTGACAACGGTCCTCCTCTGCACCTCATTTTTCTCTCCCCTTCAGACTTTGCTTGACAATGTATAACATTCTTTCACAAACATCCAAATATCCGTCTGGCTCATGCCTCCTCCCTCAAGTCTGCTTGAAGACCCCTCCTGTCACCTCCTCACCACCCTGCTCTGTTTTTCTCCAAAGCACTTACTACCTTTTACTGTATGATACAATTTGCTTACATGTAGTGCTTGTATGTCTTCTCTTAATTAAACTGTAAGCTCCCTAAGAACAGGATTTTTTTAAATTGTGGTCAAATACGAGTAACAAGCTGGGCTCGGTGGCTCAGCCTATAATCCCGTGCCTTTGGGAGGCTGAGGTGAGTGGATTGCCTGAGCCCACGAGTTCGAGACCCGCCTGGGCAACTTGGCAAGACCTCAGCTCTACAATAAATCAAAAATCAGCCGGGCGTGGTAGCGCGCACCTGTAGTTCCAGCTACTTGGAAGGCTGAGGCGGAAGGATCACCAGGGCCCAGCGGGTCGAGGCTGCGGTGGCCAGGAACGGCCACTGCACTCCAGTCTGGGTGACAGAGTGAGACTCCAACTCAAAAAAAAAATACGAGTAACATACTATTAACCGTCTTAACCATTTTTAAGTATATCGTTCAGTGGCAGGAAGTACCATACACATTGTGCAACCAATTTCCAGAACTCCTTTCATCTTGCAAAACTGAAACTCTATCCATAAGCAAATCCCCATTTTCTGTTCCCTCCAGCTTCTAGCAATCACCATTTACTTTCTGTCTCTATGAATTTGACTACTCTGGATACCATATATGTATGGAATGGAATCATACTATTTGTCTTTTTGTGACTGGCTTATTTCACTTAGCATAATGTCCTCAAGTTCATCTATGTTGTAGCATGGGTCAGAATCTACTGTCTTTTTAGGGTAGAATAATAATACATCGCATATAGATACTACATTTTGCTTATCCATTTATCCATCGATGCACACCTGGGTTGTTTCCACCTCTTGGCTATTGTGAATTATGCTGCTCTGAATCTGGGTGTATAAATATCTCTTCGATATCCTGTTTTCATTTCTTTTGGGAATATACCCAGAAGTGGAATTGCTGGATCATATGGTAATTCTATTTTTAATTTTTTGAAGAACAACCATACTTTTTCAGAATAGGGATTTTTATCTATTTTGTTCACTGATACATTCACAGTGCCTAGCACAGTGCGTGGTACATAGCAGAGGTTCGATAAATGTGTGTATTGAATGAATGCATAAATGAATGATCTTATTTGATCCTCACATCCCTGTAGAGTTGGTCAGAATTTTTTTTTTTTTTTGAGTTGGAGTCTCACTCTGTTGTCCAGGCTGGAGGGCAATGACCGCTCCCGGCCACCGCAGCCTCGACCTGCTGGGCTCCGGCGATCCTTCCGCCTCAGTCTTCCAAGTAGCTGGAACTACAGGCGCACACTACCACACCCGGCTAATTTTTTTATTTATTGTAGAGATGCGGTCTCACCAAGTTGCCCAGGCAGGTCTCGAACCCGCGGGCTCAGGCAATCCACTCACCTCAGCCTCCCAAAGGCACGGGATTACAGGCTGAGCCACTGAGCCACTGAGCCCGGTTTGGTCAGAATTATTATTCCCATTTTGCAGATATGATTATTCCCATTTTACAGAGGCTGAAATTCAGGAAACCATTTGGGATCACCCAAAAAGTAGACCTGGCACAGGGTTGACAGGCTTGGCTGGCTTTTATGATTCACTGGAGAAATCAGTGCTAATACATGTGCCTAGGCCCTTAAGGACTCAGGCAATGGAAGAGTAATTTCCTCTGTGTTGTATTTCCTTTGGGAATATTTTCACTCTCATCCTCATTGCCCACTTCTCCCTGCTCAGTGACTCCTCCTAACATACCCACCCCACCCAGTTCTAGTGTTTCTTCCCCCAGAGCATTTTAACTCATGTTCTCTGGGGTTGAACTGGCCCGATCTGGAGACCCTCCAGGTGGGTTTCATCTGAGTGCATCCAGACTTGATCGAATCCCTGTTTATAGCCCTCACCCCTCCACCCACCCTGGGGTAGTTATGAGCCTGTTCTCTTCCAAAGCAATTAGTGCAAGGAGGCCAGCCGACTCGGTGCTAATGCTGTTTCATTAAGTGGGAGCAATCCTAATGATAATAAAATGGCACATTTAACATTCAAACATTGAACGGGGTTTCTAAGCGAGTGTGTCTCTCTCTCCCTTTCTGGTATAACAGCTCCATCTTCATAAAGACCTGACAATACACCTTAATGAGAGACTGGGGAGCTGAGCATCTTTACAGAACCAGAGAGAGGATGAAGATAAGACAAAGAATCCAGAGAAAGGGGGTATAGTGCGTTGAGGGGATAAAGACTCCAAGGGTTCCTGGGTTAATGGATTCTGTGGTGTTAATTCAGACAATTAAAGCCTGTAAGAAATAAGGTCACATGGAAAAGAAAACCCACCAGACTTTAACACAATGCAGTTATTTATTTATTTGTTCAATGAATCTCTTCAACAAATATTTGTTGCGCATCTAAGATGAGCCAGATTTAATAGGCATTTGTAACAGAGGGTGGCTCCAGTTTTAGGAAAAGGAATCCCAAGGGCAGTGGAGATCTATAAAAGATCATCCTGTTTACCCTCCCCTGAGCAGATTTAGTCAAATCCATCCAGATTCATCAAACATCCTAGCAAAGAGAATTTGAACAACTGCTTTGGTCTCGGGAGCCAGTTCCTGTGTCCCCTTCTTATTGAGAGAGACATCCGTTGCATACATTCTTGCTACTCTGATTATAGACTACGTGATCGACTTCTGGGAGCAAGAAAGTAGTTTGGAATGGGGAGCTGACCAAGGAATGAAAGTAGATTCGATCATCTGGTGATTCAATCATCAGGGGATTCAAGAGAATCAGGAGAAAAGGATAGGGCCACTTGCTTTATCTAAGACATATTCTAGGGGGCTTCTGTGCACATAGGGAGGCTGCTAGCCAGTGGTCAAAGGTGGGCTTTGCCCAGGCCAGGGAAGCGGCTGATTCGAAAAGGTGCCAAGTCATAAGATGGGATTAATTTCATACTTAATTCATACAGGACCTTCCCCACAACAGGAGCCAGCTTGAATCCATGCCCTAGGAAAAGAAGAGCAGACTGTCAAGCATCTTCTGAAACAGAAAGGCTGGGCTCTCCAGAGTCCCCTGCACACCCAGACAGGGCTGACTCTTTTATTGGTCACATCCCAAAGCCTTCTGGCCATGAGTACCCTCCCACCATGAGTACCCCTTCTCTGATTGTCCAGTCTTCTTACACACTCAATGTCCAGGTTTCTGCACCTAGCTGGGCAGCTGAGAGTATAGAAAATACCATTTTGGCTGGGAGCAGTGGCTTAGGCCTGTAATCCCAGCACTTTGGGAGGCTGAGGTGAGGGAATTGCCTGATCCCATGGGTTCGAGAACAGCTGGGCAACTTGGCAAGACCTCGTTTCTACAATAAATCAAAAAATTAGCCAGGTATGGTAGTATGCGCCTGTAGTTTCAGCTACTTGGAAGGCTGAGGCAGAAGGATCACCTGAGCCCAGCAGGTAGACACTGGGGTGGCTGTGAGTGTGCCACTGCACACCAGCCTGGGCGACGGAGTGAGACTTCAACTCAAAAGAAAAAAGAAAAGAAAAGAAAATATCATTCTGAGCTGGGCTTGGTGGCTCAGCCTGTAATCCCAGCACTTTGGGAGGCGGAGATGAGAGGATTGCTAAGCCCGCGGATTCGGATTCGAGACCAGCCTGGGCAACATGATAAGACCTTGTCTCTACAATAAATCAAAAATTAACCAGGTGTGGTAGCGTGCACCTGTGGTTCTGGCTACTTGGAAGGCTGAGGCGGAAGGATCGCCGGAGCCCAGCAGGTCAAGGCTGCAGTGGCCATGAGCGTGTCACTGCACTCCAGTCTGGGCAACAGAGTGAGACTCCAACTCAAAAAAGAAAAAAGAAAAAAGAAAATACCATTTTGCCTGGAACTTAGGTCAGCTTTAAGCCACCCCGTCTCCCCCAGCTCGGGCTCACCAGAGAATCCAGCACCAATGATAATGTTGTCATACTTTGGATGGCGATCAAGAATGAAGTGCTCATCAGGGGTGTTCTAGAAAGAAACAATCACACCTATGTTGTTTGAGGATTGAGGGAGGAGGAAGAAGTGCAGGCTCTGACGGGAAGGGACTGGGCTGGATTTCTTTCCAGGAAGAATGGGAATGGGGCACAGGCATGCTTTCTGCATGCCAGTGTCCCCTCTAGGTATGACAGCCTTTCTCATTTGTCCATCTGCCTCTCTTCTCGCATAGAGCTATGAACACAGTAGGTGCTCAGTTAATCTTGGTAAACTAACTTCAGCCAAGGCACTTCAGGCCCTGGTGACATCTGTCTCTTCTCTTTGTCTCTAAGGCCTGTTCAATTGGAGGATCTTGCCAAAAAATCTTTTAGAGCTCTTATGGGAAATACAGCAAAGGACTGCCAGGCATAAGCCCAGTTTCCTAATGAAGAAGAATATGAATAATCCCTCACAGGCTCCTCTCTGGTAGGGGTGAACCGACCCACAGAAATAGCTCCTTTGTTTAAAGTCACATACTATGTCAGGGGCCAGATAGAGTCGGGCCTGGCCAGCGCAAGGTCTGTCTGTCTCCTTCCCCTGTTCTCCACAGCCATGAGGGGGCCTAGTGAGGCTGCCCAGACCCCTTACCGTGTACATGCAGCGCTCCATGACAGCAGGCTCGGGCTTCAGGTCAGGTAAGTGATCTCTGACAAAGTGGCTCAGAATCTGGACATCTTGGATGTCTGAGCGTGCTGTGGGGCAGTCCTGCTCCTCGGGGTCTGCCTGGTTGCCGTGGTGATAGCAGACCTGGCTCCCAATCAGAACAGTGTGAGCAGCGAGGGCTGGCCTTTCACGCACACCCACAGCCGAGGGCCAGGCTTGCACACAGGACGGTCCCGTCCATCATCCCGGCCTGCCCCAATCCTTGCTGTTGGGTGTCACCTGAGGTCGCCTAGCTTTGGGTCCCTGCACCCACCCTGCAGTTTGTAAAGGAAGGGCTCCCTTTGCTGGGCCTCAGGGCAGCTGAGGATCTTTCCTTAAAAATAGCTAATAGGGCTGAGGCAGAAGGATCCCCTAAGCCCAGCAGGTCAAGGCTGTGGTAGCTGTGAGCATGCCACTGCACTCCAGCCTGAGCGACAAGAATGAGACTCAAACTCAAAAAAAAAAAAAAAAAAATTAGCCAATAGTGGCCGGTAATCCCAGCACTTTGGGAGGCCAAGGCAAATGGATTGCCTGAGCCCAGGAGTTCGAGACCAGCCTAGGCAATTTCGTCTCTACAATAAATCACAAAGCCGGGCTCGGTGGCTCAGCCTGTAATCCTGCACCTTTGGGAGGCTGAGGTGAGTGGATTGCCTGAGCCCGTGGGTTCGAGACCTGTCTGGGTAGGTGAGACCTCATCTCTACAATAAATCAAAAAATTAGCCAGGCGTGGTAGCGCGCGCCTGTAGTTCCAGCTCCTTGGAAGGCTGAGGCGGAAGGATCGCCGGAGCCCAGCAGGTCGAGGCTGCGGTGGTCGGGAGCGGCCACTGCACTCCAGTCTGGGTGATAGAATGAGACTCCAACTCAAAAAAAAAAAAAATCACAAAAAAACTAGCCGGGCATGGTGGCATGCGTCTGTAGTTCCAGCTACTTGGAAGGCTGTGGAGGAAGGATCGCCTAAGCCCAGCAGGTTGAGACTGCGGTGGCCATAAGCGTGCCACTGCACTCCAGTCTGGGCGACAAAAGTGAGACTCCAACACACACAAAAAATGTCCAATGTGAAGGAGGCTCCTGCTTCTGCCCTTTGTGATCCGAGGGCATCTGTGAAGGGGAAAGTTACAGCCAAGGGCCCAAATCTGTGTGTGCACCTACTCGCTGAGTCTCAGCCCTCACTCACTTTCATCAGCCCTGGGTACTCTGCTGAGGGCAGCCCATAGACGTGGCAGGGAGCCAGGCTCAGGCCCATGCCCAGGAAACATGGAAAGGCCTGGGACACACCATAGCTCCCAGGAACCTTCTCTCGCCAGTAACACACGTTGATTCGAAGAGTCTGCAGATGGGGAGAGGAAGTGTGAGGTGAAGGGGGAGAGCCATGGAACTCTGTAGCAAAGAGAGCAGTTTTTTCCTAGTGCCTGCAACCCTGTTAATATAAGACTGGATGCCCAGTTTAACGCGTCCATTCTTGTTTCTCCCAGTTCTCATGTCATTTGCCTTTTACATATGTTATGATGTACAAAGGCCTCTGAGCCTCTGCCTCTTCTCCTATTCTTAGTTTTCTACCATAACTGTACCCCAAGCCCCATTTCTCTCTCTTTTCAGGATTTAGTAATACCTCAGATTTCTTGAGTGTTTACTATAAGCCCAACTATCTTCTAAGGACTTTAACTTAATTCTCCAACATCCTGTGAGGTAGCTGTTCCCCTTATACTATAGGTAATAAAACCCAGACTCAGTGAGATGAACTAATTTGCCCAAGTTCACCCACTAGCATGTTGCAGATCCAGAACTCAAACTTGATTTCATCTGACTCTAAGGTTTCCTCTCTTAAGCACCAACTCTCAGATTTCCAGTTCCCTCTACCTGGAGAGGTAGCTCAATTCCCAAAGGACGGAGGAGCTGGTTGGTCCAAGGACCTGCTGTGATGACCAAGCTCTTGGCTTGGTAGCTCCTGGAAGTGGTTTTCACCGTGACCGGTAGCCCTGGTTTTATCTCTAGCACCTTCTCTCCATCATGCACCATGCCTCCTAGTTGTCGAACTGCATCCTGAAAAGGCAGGAGCAGGGAAAGGCGAATTAGTTGTGCATATATTTCATACTGTTGGACAAAGAACCCATCGCTTAGGACAGCAAAGGGAGTGCAGAATCTAGACCGCCTCTCCCATATGGACAAGGTCAATAAGGCACATAACACCGCCCTGTCCAAAAAGGTCAAAACTGAAGCCAGCAGGGCAAAGGCCTTCATCTGGAGGGGGTTTGGGGCTGGCTGATTAGGACCCAGGAAGCTCAGGGCAGGGAGCAGTTGCATTGCCCCAGTGCGGTACGATATCACCTGGAGGGCTCTGAGGGCCTTGTCTGCATAGAGAACTCCTCCAGACTTGTCCAAGAGCCCTACTTCTCCTCTGGTCAACCGAATATTTGGGAAACGTTGCTTCAGTTCCTCAGATGAAAGACACTGGTGTTCCACCCCCTGCCTAGACAGAGTGGCCTGGAATGACTGTAACTCTGAATTCTCCTTCATTCCCAGCAGTAGCAGTCCAGTCTGCCTGTAAAAAAAAAAAAAAAAAGAAAAAGCCACCAAGGTGAAGCAATGTGTCAAAGCCCTGGGCCATTTGCTCTCTTTCTTCAGAAGAATCTGGGAAGGATCCTCTCTGGGAGGGATCTGGCTTAAACCTCACCTAAGCAGACGTAATGTCAAATCCTTGACCCAGAAATTCAGCAAGGATCCCAGGTCCAGGTATAGATATCGAGGGGAGTCACGGCTTTGTGTTCAGAATACAGATGAAGTGATCCAGATTCGGTGATAAGAGTCCCAGTATTCTCGAGCTGATTTCTGGCCATTCCCAAGTCTGCCCTTGGTCCTCATTATTGGTTTGCTTTTCTTCTATCCTCCCCACTCAGGATCCATCCTGCCCTTGAGAGCAGAAGCCCTAATTCCTCTTTCATCCTCTATACCTTGAAAGTGGTAAATGTTCAATCAGTTTGATAAGATTTCTTCACTGCCCTGTCCCCTGAACTCATTCACTATTTTGATCTTTTTTTTTTTTTTTTTTTGGGTTGGAGTCTCACTCTGTCACCCAGACTGGAGGGCAGTGGCCGCTCCCAGCCACCGCAGCCTCGACCTGCTGGGCTCTAGCGATCCTTCCGCCTCAGCCTTCCAAGTAGCTGGAACTACAGGCGCACACTACCACACTCGGCTAATTTTTTTTTGATTTATTGTAGAGATGAGGTCTCGCGAAGTTGCCTAGGCGGGTCTCGAACCCGCAGGCTCAGGCAATCCATTCACCTCAGCCTCCCAAAGCATGGGATTACAGGCTGAGACTCCGAGCCCGACTGATCTCTCTATTTTTATTTTTTCCCTCTCTCCCTTCTTCTGGTCTATTCCTTTTTCCTTTTCCTTTCCTTGTCATATAATGGTTTTTGTTTGTTTTGTTTTGTTTTGTTTCAGTCAGGGTCTCACTATGTCACCCAGGCTGCAGTGCAGTGGTATGATCATGGCTTACCTCAGTCTCAGATGAGCCTCTGCCTCAGCCTTCCAAGTATCTGAGACCAAAGGTGTACATCATGATGCCGGGCTAATTTTTTATTTTATTGTAGAGACAAGGTCTCACTATGTCGCCCAAACTGGTTTCGAACTCCTGGGTTCACACAGTTCTTTTGCCTTGGCCTCCCAAAATGTTAGGATTACAGGCGTGAGCCACCATGCCCAGCCTGTCATATAATGTTTTGTCCCTTCTTGTGTGTCTGTCTCTATCTCTGAGTTCCTACTCAGAGGCTGCCTATTTTGTGGAAAGGGTCCTAAATTGGGAGATCTGGCTCTGCTTCTGGTCCTGACATCACCTTGGTGTGACCTTGATCTGGTTACTCACCTCCAACCTAGACTCTTCCTCTGTAACATGTGCCTATGGGACTATTGGTAGTTCCACACCAGGGGGGGTACCCCTACCCACGCAGGGACAAATAAAAACAGAATGGACCATTTTTGTAGTTGTCACAATGCCTGCCTGGGGTTGCTACTCACATTTAGTAGGCAAGGGCCAGGGATGCTAAACCTGCAATACTCAAGAAATTCCACCCGGAATGCCAATGGCACCCTCATGCAGAAACTAATAGGTGCTCTTCTAGGGTTCCAGCAACAAATTCAGTGATTTCATGGTTTTGTTTCTCCCTATACCTCCCTCCATGCTTTTTACTCCCTGAGGGAGTAAAAGCTGTTTCTCTTTAATGTGTCCTGCCTCTCCGTCACAAGAGACCAGAGCTCTCTTTTGGGGGGAAACCGATCTAAACAACGGAAGGGTCACTGTGGCCCTTGGGACCATTCCTGTGTTCCCTCTCCATTTCAGCAGCTGCACTGACCAGCCGCAGTCTGGTACATCCCCCAGGTAGTGCGTATAAAGCTCGTAATAGCCTATAATGGAGTCTCATGGATATTACATGCTTCCAAATCCCACATTATCTGGTTGGGGGGATTAAAGAGAAGATTGGGAGGGGGTAGGGACGCAGTGGGCCTTGGGGCGGGTGTCAGTACACAGAGCCGCGCAGCGTGGCCGATCCATTTGCCATGGCCCCCGCCTACCCAGCAATCACCACTGGCAAGATAGCGATGAGAGCTCTGCCACTTCAAAGCTCAACAGAGGAAAGAGGCTATAGAAATCCCCACTAGCCAGCTGACAGATTTTTTCTATGGCTCCCAAAAGGACTTCAGATTGGCTCTGAGGTCATGAAAACTTGCCTAGTAAACTTCTTAGTCAACAAGATCAGTATGAAGTCCCACAGGTGAATGTTCTTGAGCCTTTTTTACTCGGTGGGGTAAAAATGCTGGGGAGCATTCTGGGAAGGATCTGGCTTAAACCTCACCTAAGCAGACGTAATGTCAAATCCCTGGCCCAGAAATTCCAGAGCAGCATATTCTCACCTCTGCTTGCAATATACCAAGCCTTGGTCTTTCATGGACTCTGAGAATTACTTTCCCTTTTCCTACCCTTCCTTCTTTCCCTCCCTCCTTCTTTCCTTCTTTCCTTGAAATAAGAACTCCTCTTACAGGCACGTACTGTTTGGGAAAAATGAACTCATGCCAAGACAACAAAAAAATCTGTCGAATTATGAAATGCTGAGTGATGTTCTAATTCCCAAGCTGTCCTGTGGTGGATGAAGCAGGGGCTCCCCATCCCTACGAGTAATCAGCGAGCTGATTCTGCCGGTGAATGTAATTGTGCCGATTGTAATCATTTTGCTCCAGCTCTCTGCCCCTGTGGCATTTATTTCTTAGCCCAGATATTGATCTAACAGTGGGAAATTTTCCGTCTGAATTTGTGATGCCGGACCCTCCTCTAGTCTGAAGATGTGTTTGGGAAATTCTCATTTTCCGTGGATCACAGCTGAGCTATTTGGCCTGAGGGAAACCGTGCACTGCTGGAGAAATGCCTTGGATTGGAGAGAGATTTTTGACCATTATGAGCAAATCGGAAATAAATGTAAAACACTGCCTGGAAATGCAAAGGCCTGTCATTATGGGAGATAGGTGAGAGGCTCCTATGGGAAACGCTTAGAGAATTGGAAATCAGTCAATCAAAACCAGGATTGGAAAACGGGCCTTTCCCCCCAGTATAAAGATAGATGACTTCCATGGACAGATTGAAAATCATTTAAGTGCTTATTTTCTTAATGGTTTTTTCTAGATCCCCATAAATAGATCACTCATTCTGCATCAATTTCTCACCCCTGCGCTCTGGACCTCCCTTTCTTCTTTTTCTGCTCAGACCTGAGCTACAGAGTTTGGGAAGGAGAAGAATGAAAATACACAAGGGCATCTGTGGGGTAAGAAATGACCAGAAAATGACAGGTCAGGACAAGCCAGAAAGGAGGGTTTGTCCAGCACTTGGGTTGTCAGGAAACCCTAGAAAGGAGTGCAGCTATCAACTCCCAGAAAGCCCATCCACTGAGTCAAGAGCGTTTGTATGAACTGTGCTGTCCTCCTGACCCTAGTTTGATCCAACCCTAGGAAGAGGTAAATGAAGATTCCTCCCAAGTGCCTTGCTGACTCCTCTGTGGTCCGACTAATGCCTCACGTGTGATGTAGAAAGTTGGCGGTCAGGGATTTCCATCTGTTACTAGAGCAGGACAAGGTGCAGGATGAAACGGGAAGGATTTGGGAGGGGGAGACTACTCTCCCTGTGTCCACCACCCCCCACCGCAAATTCCAGCTTTTCCCTCTCTCTGAATTAAAAATGCCGGGCAAGCCGGCTCTCAGAGTCACTTTGGGAAGGGACTCGAATGGGGACTTGGAAATGTCTGCTGTCTTTGTTGGTTTTGGAGGAGCTCTCTGCGTTTCATCTTCCGCTCAGTGGGCCGAGGTGGAATTGGTTAACAAAGACTGCTCCAGGGAGGGGATGTGGCTGACAAGCCAGACACTTCGCAGACACAAGAAGCAGCAGCTGCAGAGGGGGCCACCAGGTTCTGCCAGCAGCTGTACTGCCTACGGCTGTGATCTTGTCTGATATTGTCAGCTAAGCAGGGGCAGCCTGGGTCAGGAGCTAGATAGTAGGACTCAAAGGGAGAAGGCGGAGCAGGAGAGAGATGGGCCAGAGCTGGGCTTTGCTGTTGATATCAGCATCCTGGTTGTACACATCACAAAAGATTCAGACCTTGTGATCTGACACATGTGTCATTGTGTTTCCAGAATATACGCAAATATGCTGAACCCACCCATGTTTAGTATGCTGCTGTCACAGGAAGCAGCTGAACAGAATAAAAAACATTGGACAATCACCTGAACTACAAACTCCTAAAGGCTTTTTTAATCATCATCAAATAGCATTAAGTATGCTCATATCTATCAGTTATATTATGGTATTGTGCTGGTTCTTCTAGAAGAACCTGGGGAGACATAAGGGCCCAAAGATGATGGATCATTTAGAAAATCAGAATCAGTAAAAGCTAAAGGAATTGGAATCGCTTTTTGCCCTAAGGTAGCAGAGCTGTATTCAGATACCATTCTGAGAATGGAAAGTATCTGTTCTATGTCCTCACAGAGTAAAAGAACCAAATAAATTAGTGTGCCTGAGTAAATTAGGTTAGCCATAGAAAAGAACTTGTTAATAATAGGATAATAACAACAATAATAATACTTAGCACTCTATAGCACTTTAGAGGTTTTTAAAGCATATTCACATTACTTTTCATTTTTCATAATTGGGGCTATGAGACATTGGAATGGTCTTTTAAGAAGGGTTATGATATTTTCCTGTTTTTAAATGTACTGTATGTCCTTTTTTAATGTAAAAAATGTCTTTTGATCTGGGGTGATTTAGGCATGATTTAGCGTGGAGACAGGGAACAGGACAAGGTAACCAGTTTAAGGTATCCTCCAGACCAGTGCCCAGCAAACTATAGCCCAGGACCCAAATCTTGCCTTCTGCCTGTTTTTGTCTGGTCCATGAGCCAAGATGGTTTTTAAATTTTTTAATTGTTGATTTTTTTTTTAAATAAAGACAGGGGTCTCACTATGTTGCCCAGACTAGTCTTGAACTCCTAGGCTCAAGCAATCTTCTGCCTTGGCCTTAAAAAGGGCTGGGATTACAGGTGTGAGCCTCCATGCCCAAACTTAAATGGTCAATTTTTTTTTTTTTTGAGTTGGCGTCTCACTCTGTGTCCCAGGCCAAAGTGAAGTAGCATGCTCACAGTCACTGCAGCCTCGACCTGCTGGACTTAGGTGATCCTTCCACCTCAGCCTTCCAAGTAACTGGAACTACAGGGGTGCACTAACATGACCAGTTTATTTTTTGATTTATTGTAGAAACACAATCTCACCAAGTTGCCCAGGCTGGTCTCAAGCCCCCGAGTTTAGGTAATCCTCTCACCTCGGCCTCCCAAAATACTGGGATTACAGGCTTGAGCCATTGTGCCCAGCGGTTGATTTTTTGAAAACCAAAAGAAAGTCGGGCGCAGTG